TCAGTGAACACTCACTCAAAAGTTGATGAAGGCTTTATGATGCCCCACTGCTGTTTTCCACAGAGGCCCCGTTTTCATATAAAGAAACACAGAAAGACACAGACAGAAATTCCAGTGTCCTGACCTCCCTCTGATCTGTTGGCCGCTCTCTTACCAAGTTCTAGTGAGTAAAGAAGTCAAGTGGTATCATTGATGGTTTGCGGTTTAGTTTTCCCTATTGATAAATGTATAATAATGTATCAACAAATGTATCGGTTTTCTGGCAATACGGAGAAACAATAACATGGTCGTTTCCATCTCAGAGGCTACAAGTATAGCTGTTTGGAAACTGTAAAATGTCCAAAAGTCTGGCAAGAGAGCTGTCCTTAATTGTCCAACACATTTCTGTATGTATTTTATTTCCTTATTAGTGCAGCTGGTATGATAAAAAATGGAAGAGAGAGAGAGGAGGACAAAGAAAATGCAAATACTCTACCAGGTGAGCTAGAAACGCCCTTAATAGTCTACTTGTTATTTAGTGCAGAACCAAGACGAGGACCAGGGACCTTGTGATGAGAAAAAGATTCTTCACAATCTTTTAAACAATCAAACTGTTTTGCATCAGTTTCTGGTGTGATCACAACTAAAGTGGTACCAATAAAACACAAAACCAGACAATAAATATATGATGCCGCTTCAGTTTGGTGACCTGCACCCAAGAAGAGAATCACATTTGAATTTAGCAAATGTCCTCATATAGTTTTAAAAAAGAGAACTTTTCCACGTATACATTTCATAAAGTCATAGCTCACAATAGAGGAATGTGGATGATTGACATCTGAACGGGCTGTAAATTAGATTTATAAAACTAAGAAGCTTTCTAAGAAGGTATGGAGAAGAAAAACTTGGGTGACATCAAGAGGGACACACACCACACAGCATATATAATATATATATATATACATATATAAATCAATTAAAATCTTCAAAACCAAGAAGTTAAACTACAAAGGAAAGGACTTCTCATCATCAAGGTGAAGATACGATGTCCTCCGTGCAGACAGCAGAGGCAGCATCCACACTGTACAGCCTGTAACCCACTCAGCGGCCGCTGTATGTGTGTGTCACACTGGGTGGTGTTTCTGGGGTGAAGCAGACGGAGGTTAGGCCCCGCGAGCTGTTACTCCATATTGTCACAGTTCAGAGGTGGCAGTGTCCCCCCCTGACCCAACCCCCCATCTCTTAATACCACCTGCTAATCCATCTGCAGGATTAATGTCCACTGTAATCACTCATCCTCCACGTTGACACACCTCACCTCCCTCTGCAACTCCTGACTCATTACGCACACACACAAACACACACCAGGCTACCTTGCATAAGAAGTCTATTATGGCTGCAGTTTTCTATGGAACGTCTCGTTTTGTTTGTCTACAGTTAATAAGACGCATTTCTCATGCAAAGATGTCATCTCACATCCAAAATGCAGCTGCACAACCACCACACCTGAAACACAACTCGGGATGAACTCTTGTACCAGAACACGCGTGTGTTTGCCCGCAGTCGGTACACGATGACCTGACACACTAACTACGGGAAGCATCACAAGCTGCCGCACTGCGTCTCTGAGTGACACAAAAACAGATGGTTTAGGCCAAGTTATAGAAACACAGCAAATCGTCTGCTTAGTTCAAAACTATAAAACAAGTTCAAAACGATAAAACACACATGTTTGCAAAGTTGAACTACAACACCAAGTTATTAATCACTAGTGCCCACAATGCACCTGGGAAAACATCTGTCACCTGTTGGAACACTTAGCAATGAGAGCTTGAATTCTATGGATTCAGGTTTGCTCTTCGGTGTGTGTCACAATGTAGAGAGCGTTGGAGGAATAACATCATGATGTGAATACTTACACATTCCCCATCAAACCTCAACAGTGGATTTCTGATATTAGGACAATTATTTTTGTTGTATATTTAGTAACACAAAATGTGTTAAATATACAAATTGTAACATAATGGTACATTTTGGTGAATTTAGGATAAATCTACAGCCAGAAATAGACAAATTAGTCAAAGACTCACCGCAATGTGTATTGTGTGTATTTTTTCTTTCCACCCAGCTGAAGAAAAGGGCTTGGGATGGAGGAACAATTGTCCAAATCTCGAAATAGAAACTGTTCATGAAAATAAACAACGTTTTTGCCTGAGCTGTAATTGTGTTTTCAGTATGTGAGCAATGAGAACACATATGAAAATGATAATAGCATTTAATACGCATCGCACCAGTGGGCACCTGACATGTGGAGAGAGCTTGTTTGTGTGTAAAAAGATCAAGCAGAAATAATATTTTTAGAGGGGTTGATTTACTTTTCAACACTGATTGAGATGTTAAGATGTTAAGATTGAATATTATGTTCTTAAGTTAGTTTTTTTTGTACAGGGTTTCAACTAAGAAGGTCCTACTTTTAGAAATTGTGTTTCAGCAATTGGAAAAAAACACATTTAATACTGCTGATCAAATCAGAAATGAAATTACTCGAAGAAAAGGTGTTGCCACAGTGTGAAGATGAACAAACCACAGGGGCCTCAGGGGACATAAAGCCTTTGACTAATGCTTGTTTTGTTTAAGTTACAGTGAATAGTGACACAATGACAGTGTTGGATCATTTAGACAGGACACGTCAAATCGGAAGATGGTATTGGCTTCATGGGGTGGGTCAAAGAATGTCTGCTTCACAACAGGATGTGTCAGCAGTGATGTGGAAACCTCATTATAATACGAGTTTGATATAGTTGTTTAGTCCAGAGAAGTGGACTAAAGTGGCTCTCTAATCGCAGACACAAGGATTCGAGACTCCCCTTGTGATGATTGATGGCCTGAAGTAATGTGTAAAATACAGTAGGTCATAATCTGCCATCAACTGGAGACCAGGTGATACTCTTTGTACTCTAACCGATATAAGCGGCTGGCTTATTGTTGAATACCTGATAATGTTGGCAATATTTCCCTGCTATTCAGAAGGTAATTCCGGCAGACGTAACAGGCAGATACAAGTCCTAACTGGACTGGAAAGGGGGATGGTGGTTAGAGGAGGTCAGTTCTGAGCTGGTGGCTCCTAGTTTGTACAGAGGAGATTATTACAGTGTGTTCCTGTGTGCGTGTGCGTGTGCGTATGCGTGTGTCTAAGTGTGTATGTGCGTGTGAGTGTGTGTACGTGTGTGAGTGTGTGTGTGTGTGTGTGTGTGTGTGTGCAGGGTGAGTGATTGGGGCTGACAGCAGCCTCTGTATTGCTGGCTTGCCCGCAGATTTAGCAGACCTGTTTTAGACGCTCTAATCTGGATTAACTGCAGCAGTGTGTCGGTGGGGACGAGGACAGAAGCTCTCCCCCCCTCCCTCCCTCTCCCTCCCCCTTCACCTGTTTCCACCGCACCCCCCCCCTTCCCATTCCTCCCCATCAGTTACGTCTCTCTTACTTCCATCTTCCTACGTTTTCAGCCTCAGTCGGTTCTATACGTTGTTGTCAAATACCAACTCTGTTCACTCTGAAAACATTTGCCTGCATCATCCTTAATGTGCCTCTCTTTGAGTTTATGTGGGAGGAGGGGTGGGGGGGGGGGGGGATTAAACCAGCTCAGTCCTCTTCCCTATTTGCTGTTGTGTCAGAATGAATCACTGTCATCAAAAGGACGAGGTAGAAGTAACATACACAATGCAAAAAAAGACACGGAGAAGATTTCACATATAAAATTAAATCCCACCTCAACAACTTTTTGGTTACTTGCAATGCATCATTGTACTCAATTAATTAAAACATTGCAGCAATTACATTTTTTAATAATAGAAGATGTTTCCAAAATTAAAACAGGTGTGATGACAAAATATATTGAGAGCTAATAGAAATAAAACTAGTTAAAAAGTTTATCAACAGTTGATATTGACAGACATTCATGTAATAATTACTTAAAATGTGTACAACAATACTTTCATATTTAAAGAGTTCCCTTTTGGTCACATGCGTGTGTGACTCAGACTCATTCCATACAGTACAGCAGCACTATAGTCCCCCAAAAAGAATTGTTACTGCAGGAATACCATGTTTCTAAGTATCCACGTTCAGAAGTTTCCTTATGTAAGTTTCCATTAAGTTCCGGCCAGCTGTCCGCCCCTGAATCCTCAGTCCGAGCTTCTCACTCCACAGTACGTCTCTCCGCCTTCTCTCCTCCATACGTTCTCTGTCATCTACAGCTTTCTGATTTTTCTGTTTCGCCCAATCTATACGAAGAAACGCCGTCGCTTTCCCCTCAGTGCGGCTGTAGGTCCCTCTAGGCTCCTTTGCTGCACCGCCACTGAACGGATTGCTCTGTCTTTCCTCCCTTTTATCTGGAGATAAGATACTTACTTTTCAGATAAAGCATATTATGATAAATCAAATGAGCTTTGCCGGTTTTGTACATCTGGGTGTCTGTATGTGTGTGTGATGTTAATGGTGGAGGGGGGGTTGAAATCAGCTTGTGTGTTTGCAGCTGTTTCAGTGATAAACGTAATCTGTCAATTTTTGTGTCAATGTATGAGCTGCAGCTGCAGGTGTATCGATCAGCTGGAGGAAAGGTGAAGGTGAACAAGGGTTTGAGGACTGAAACAAAACTAGCATTTTCATAAATGGTAATATTTCCAAAATAGACATTTGTTTACTTTTCACTCAAACGGTTGCATATAAACTAAATGTGCACTTGATAGAGTGCAGGTCTCCACCAGGTGTGTGAGCAGGGAACACAACACAGCATTAGGAGTTTCAATAAAGCATGCAAACCCAGACAATAAATAGGCGCTGGACAGAAAAACATCATCACAACAACATGTAAAAGACAGACGAAATAGTGGCGGCAGAGTCTGTGTGTGTGTGTGTGTGTGTGTGTGTGTGTGTGTGTGTGTGTGTGTGTGTGTGTGTGTGTGTGTGTGTGTATGTGTGTGTGTGTGTGTGTGTGTGTGTGAGAGTCTGTTAGCAAACTAATGAGATGTTGGCCACACACATAATCCAAAACAATGAAAGAAAGCAAACCGCAAGAGCAAAACAGCACCAACTAATCTGTGGTCATATAACGTATAACTAATCATCACAAAACTTTCCCAGTAAATGAAGACAATATAGGTTCATTTCCGAAATATGATTGTGGATGTATGTTTAAATATGCAAATGAATAATTATCTTTGTAAATATGTGCTACTTTGGTTTAATTGCAATAATAAATCTGAACATCAGATTCCATGTGAGTTGCCACATTAGACTCAAATGTTTTTACAGTGGAGGAGAATATTAAATCTCCTTGAATCACTTCAAGCAGCCACAGAAACCAAACACGAACAACGTGTTTCCATTGTTGTTTGTGTAGTTGTGTCTTACAGCATGGAGCCTGTTGCTTTGGTTGCTTGTACGCGTCTTTGCGCGTGTGCGCGTGTGCGCGTGGTGGGAGGGGTTTGCTGAAGCCACTTGCTCCCTCTAATTAGCAGCGTGTGCCGGTGAGGAAACTCAGTGGATCGACCTCAGCGCGGCGCAAAGGCATCCGGGGGGCCACTTCACCTGTGCGACGCTTTAACAGCGTCACATCCGAATCGAGAAGACATTTCCAAAAAGCTCAGCGCGCGCGCGGCAGTGTGCTCTGCTCCCGACCTGACAGACAAGTAGAGCTGAAAGTTAGAAAAAGAAAAAGGAAGGAAGTCTGAGGTCTCCGTGCCAAACCCCGGCGCGTCCCGCTCCTGCGCCCCCCCCCCGCCCGCCGCGGGTCGGACCCGCCGCGCTGACTCGGTGACCCGGCGGAGCGCTCGGTTTTTGTGCTGCGTGTCCGACATACACGTCAACGACAGGACTTAAACCCTGCTGCGAGGATGATGTCCTACATAAAGCAACCCCATTACACGATGAACGGGTTAAATTTGCCTGGCCCCGGAATGGATATGCTGCACACAACCATCGCGTATCCATGTAAGTATAAACTTTTATTTTAAATATTTTACTTCAAAGCATTTGTCTCATTCGCTGCTCTATTTATTTAGAGCCGTATTCTTCCCAAAATGATGCGTAAAGACAAGAAAAACATCTGGACAGAAAATAGACACGAGTAATGAAAATACACGAGACGAATATTTTGTTTCATCACCTTATTGACAGCATTAAATAATACGATATACCTTTAGTGTATCATTGCTACACTTATTTAGCAAACACAAAAATAAAATATGTAATGTCAACTTTTTGTTTCGAGTGATTCAAAGTAACATTTCATGTTTTACTTTATTCCGGTGTCCGGTGTCGTAGATACAGTGTTGGATAGAGATACATTTGTTAATACGCAGATTGCAAGCATTGAAACGCAGATAATCTTCCTTCCCGAAATCAGTTATTTGAATGTTTATATTATTTATAAATTATTATTATTTCCCCCTCGAGGGTTCACAAATTTTCTCAAGCTCCAAAATCATATCATTTAACTAAATTCCAGTGACTTTATTTAATAATTCCTCACTTTTTTTGACTTGCACTCAATGTGCAAAGTAGTAAAAAGAAACCTCTTCCAAGAGCATCATTGATACATGCAGTGTTCTTCATATTTGTCATGCAGACTATAGAAAACAAATGAGGAAACAGTCTCATAATGTTCTGAGATTTGCATTGGTGTTTGTATTTCTTGTCATCCTCACTCAGCCGAAAAAAACCGAACCAGAATAATCAGTTAAATGGCGTGTTGCCTTCAAAAAAGAATGAAATGGGTCCGAATAGTCCTCATAATTCAGGTCAGCCTTCCATATTGCTGCCAGAATAATAATCCCCCTCTGTGGTGCGTGCAGCCACTCCCCGGAAGCAGCGCAGGGAGCGCACCACCTTCACCCGGACACAGTTGGACATCCTGGAAGCGTTGTTCTCCAAGACGCGCTACCCGGACATCTTCATGAGGGAGGAGGTGGCCCTCAAGATCAACCTGCCCGAGTCACGTGTGCAGGTACTGTGCAGAGACTTCTTTTGGGAGAAAAACAAGATGTACATGTTACGTCCTGCATACGTTTTACAAGTCTTTGGTTGCATAAATCCCACGTGTCCTTTCTCACCTTCAGTAACCAGCTAACTGTTTTTTTAAATAATTGAGACACTTGGTTTTCCCGTCCTTACATCTTTCTTCTCCCCGACTCCAGGTTTGGTTTAAAAACCGTCGTGCCAAGTGCCGTCAGCAGCAGCAGCAGAGCAGTGGCCAGTCCAAGCCCCGCCCACCCAAAAAGAAGGCCTCTCCATTGCAGGAACCCAGCGCCCCTGATCCGGTCTCTAACCCGCCCGGCTCCTACAGCCCCTCCAATGGTCAGTCAGGTCCCGGCTTGGTCCCGAGCTCCAGCACCGGGAACAGCGCCGTGTCCATCTGGAGCCCGGCCATCTCTCCCCTGCCCGACCCCCTGGCCTCCTCCTCGGCGCCCTGCATGCAGCGGCCCTCACCTTACCCCATGAGCTACGGCCAGCCATCGGCCTACTCCCAGGGCTACGCCAGCACCACCTCCTACTTCACCGGCCTGGACTGCAGCGCCTACCTGTCCCCCATGCACTCGCAGCTGTCGGGCACCGTGGGCGCCCTGAGCCCCATCACCGTGCCCTCGATGGGGGGGTCTCTGAGCCAGTCCCCGGCCTCGCTGTCCTCGCAGGGCTACAGCACGGCCTCCTCCCTGGGCTTCACCTCTGTCGACTGCCTGGACTACAAGGACCAGCAGGCCTGGAAACTGGGCTTCACCACAATGGACTGCCTGGATCACAAGGACCAAAACTCCTGGAAGTTCCAGGTCCTCTAGAGAGGGGGGTCGTTCATGGGCATCAACGTGAGATAGTGTGACTTGTCGTCTTTGATTTTATCTCTCTTTCTGTAAGATTTTTGTTTGTTTTCTAATGGTCACCTCTGTAGGAATTTTATTTGAATGGCTTTGGAGATAAAGGACTAGTGACTGTCATCGATGCTGCTTGACTGCAAACCATCACGATGTACGGAGGAAACATACTAAGCCATCTCTTCTTTCAACATGTCCAACTCCGAGTAGGACACATACACATTTTATTTTAAACTGCCATTGTCATAGAGTGAAAGTGGAGCTGCTGTGACGGGACGGAGCTCTAAAGTCCTTATAGGTCACCTCCTCCTTCAGGGTTTAATCATTATAAGCCACTAATTATTATTTTATGCTAATTTTAAATAATTGTTTGCGTTTAGAGCTTAGCATTTGTGTTGCGTGTTGCCGTGTTACCCGTCAGTGTTATTGTCCCTACCTGTTTGATGGAGAAAAAAAAATGCTTTGTGACATATTAAAGTGATCTATTCTTTACACTTTGTGCACTGACAATCATTCAGAATCTTTGAAATGAATCTCACATGGCAGCTCGGACCCGGCGTGTGTGAGGAGGCTCGGATGTGTTCGGGTCTGGACCCGTCATGGTCGTCATGTGGCCTGGCTCTCACAGGTCCATCTTATTTTAGTTTATCTGATTCTGGGAGTGTCCCAATCCTCTTATCCTCCCTTCTGCAATGCCTTAAGTGAATTAGTCAGGATTATTGTCCTATCCCCCTCTGTCTCTCTGTCCCTCACCCATCTCACCCTCCTCAGTCTTCTCTTCCTTCCTTCTTTGCTCTGACTAACACTTCCCTCTATTTTTCCCCCCTGCGTGTTTACCTGCAGGTTGTCTTACCTTTAGCTTCAGTCCTTGTTTATCCCACTGATCATAGTTATCCCAAACAATTTGAATTACTGACAACAAAACAGTTTATCAAAGCCTTTTTACAACAGTAGTTTTTATGGATCGCTCCGGCGCCGAGATATGTCTCCATCAGATCGGTGGTTCTCCTTCTTTCTTCCACTCCTGGACCCCCACCACTACCCCAACCTGCCCGGTAATCGCTACACAACCCGATTGCTACAATGCAAGCTCAACTTTGACATCAAATATATGAAATATTTTATGGAGGTGTGTGTGTGGGCGCTAAGAGATGAGATACTGAACAAGACACCTTGCTTCCAGAACTCTCTCCGTGACATAATTTGCCTTATTTTTAAAGCTAAATAGAAAACACAACAAACACAAACACATCTAATTTTAGAATTTAAATTAATATGAATTCTTTAAAATGGGATCACTCCAGAAAGACCTTTGGGTGTAATATTGACAGAAATGACCCAATCTTGTTTTATTTTGTTTGCTATGTAAATCATATCTGATCCTCAGGTCATCAGCCATGTTAAAACGTCACAACATTTAGATCATAAATTCAAATCTACTGCACTCAGAGACATTTTGAAGCAATTTTCTGCACTCAATGCTGCCCTAATCCCACTCTGTGCTGGTTTAATCCCTCCACCCTTCCTCTCCCTGGTTTGATTGGTTAATCTCTACGTATGAGGACTCTGATTGGTTAACCTCTCTTACAGAGGGTGCAGTGCACTTGTAATCTTCCCCCACAGCACTGAGAGTTTCAGAGAGACAGACATTTGCGCTGTAATCCCGGGGAGGAGCAGATGTGGTGGGGGATGGGGGGCACCGAGCAGACCTTGAGGAAGGTTAATGCCCGGAAAACAAAAACACGGCCTGCAGTCCGAGGAAGAAACCCTCGGGCTCTGGTCTTTTACTTCAGTAAGAGTAGTAATACTACATTGTTAGGGTGCTCCATAAAGGTTCTGCATTCAGAATCTTTAAAAAAAACCTCTGGGCTGGGATTGACTCCAGCACCCCCCTCCCTCCCGACCCCGTACGAAGGATAATGCAACAGAGGGGAAGTATAATTTAGCACAGATTAAAAAGTACAGAGTAAAAATAGTGCTTGAGTAACATGTAATTCCATTCCATTGATTTTAAAGCAGTGCTACAGAACCAGTAGAAATCCAGCAGTTTTGATCAAACTGAGGAGTCGATGGAGAAGTCCACAGTTTGGGGAATGGATCTTGCAAAATCATTTCAATGACTCATTAATATACAAAACGAGTAGAAGAGACCCATGAAACAGCTCTTGGTTACTGCTCGCACTCATCTTGTAATCCAGTACATAGTTGCTAATCTAGCCAGATTATATTGTCATGTTTTTTGAGAATCTTAACCTGCGATCACTATTTGACCCGCCAAATGGTCAGCGCGTATTAAAGGTGTCCACTAGAGGACGTAGATTCACCGGGTCAAAAGGGATCACTGGTCAGGTTTATCAAGCAAAGGTCCATTTACTCCTTATAACAAATGTGCCAAGTTATTGCCAGTAGCAATGCCCCTTATTACATTAGAAGGTCCCTGGAGTACATCTGCCAGTTTGGTTCTCAACAATGATGAAATTTGTAGTTACTTATATGACACGATTCTGTTGGCCAACCAGTAAAATACATCAGTGACTTTAAAGTGCACCTGGAAAGCAAATGAATCACACCAACTAGCATCAGTTTGTTTTAACATCTATTTATTACCACCATAATATGAGAAATTTGGAAAATACAAAGATCGGCTTATTTATACGTCTGAAAATCTTGAGGAATAAGAAAAATATAAAAGAAAACAAATTAGGTTATATTGTGTATCACAAATTTGAGAAAAGGAGAGATTATATGTTCAGATCTACAAAGAGCAGGAAATACACACAGACCCAAAGCATGCAGAGCGTAACTTGCACTATTATGTCAATTCATACCGTGTAACGAGCCTGTAGACATGAAGATAGAGACAGAAGCATCATGTGTGAAGACTGATCTACAGAGAACCGAATACAGGAGGCGGGGAACCATCGCCCCCCTGTGGCTGCCATTACAATAGAAGTTGCCTTTGAAAATAGAGAAGCTCTTCATGATTTTCCATAGATCAGATTACTGCAAAACATTCTTAAAAGAAAGCAGTGTTGGCAATATTAATTGTTTTTTCGCTCTTAATTTCAAGATTTTGGAAGTGGTAACGAGAAGAGATGCTCATCTATGAATTATATGCATACAAAAAATAAACACCATATCCACAATGATAATGAATATTCTTAAGCAACCAAAACAGTTGAGTACAAGTGGTTTGAAAGATCAGAGCTCACATATGCACACAAACAGAACGCCGTCCCTTCTCAGTGCAGGTTACACAGGGCAAGAGGCGGATTGAGGTGATACAGCCTGGCTGCAGAGCGAGTTGGGGCTTGGAGGGAGAGGGGGACGGGGGTGAGGCAGAGGCCTCAGGACTAGCTTTAATAGCACCCTGCTGTGGAAGTTGCAGCTCCCCTTAAGCAGACTAGCCCCATGGCCACTCAGCTCGGTTTTGCCACACGGACCACACCAGCTGGCCCCCCACCCAGGATCAACTGGATTCCTCCAAACTCTGACGCCTGCACGAATCGTGTGTGCATATGTGCGTCCGAACTGAAAAACTTCTTACATGCAGAAAAAAAAAAGGTACCTTAAGAAAACATTTGGTGAAGACAAAAAAAGTATGAGACCAGACGTCAACATATTTCTATCTCTTCAGAATCAGGATTACTCTATAGTCTACTGACAAGCTGGGCAGGCAGGAGGAGAGGAGAGAGGCTGATTGGGATAGGTGAATGGGGGGGGGGGTTGAGGCAGGTTGAGAAAAAACAGGACAGAGGTGAAAAATTGGGGAGGGCCTTTTAAGCACGCTCCCCACGAATGCGGCGTGCCAGCTGGATGTCTTTGGGCATGATGGTGACCCGCTTGGCATGGATGGCACACAGGTTGGTGTCCTCAAACAGACCCACCAGGTACGCCTCGCTCGCCTCCTGGAGGGGTGGGGGGGTTAAAACATATTAGCAGGGGAATAGCGCAAACCCTACAGATTAAACTGATGCAGCGTAATCAATATATTGTGCACACACACACACACACACACACACACACACACACACACACACACACACACACACACATTCTCACACACACACACACACACACACACACACACACACACACACACCTGCAGGGCTCCAATGGCGGCGCTCTGGAAACGCAGGTCGGTCTTGAAGTCCTGAGCGATCTCCCTCACCAAGCGCTGGAAGGGAAGCTTGCGGATCAGCAGCTCGGTGGACTTCTGGTACCGACGGATCTCTCTCAGAGCCACGGTGCCGGGCCTGAAACGCACAACAAAGCCAGCAGGTTAATTTAGCCTCATACAAGCTAAACAGGATTTGTCCGCTGTGCACTTAAAATGTTGTTAGTGTTTGATCAGCACAGTTAAACTCAATAACTAAACTAAACTTTTAAACTAAACTTAATATTGTGAAATTTATAAAACCATTTACCTGGATTTAATATGTTCCAGTGAAAAATTTAACAATTTATATAAAACAGACTACTACATCTTTCTTCTCCTCCATCATCCTTTCCATCTTATCTTGATGAAGACGCCTCAGTGACATTAAGATGGGGCTGTTTAGGCGTTACCTGTAACGATGGGGCTTCTTGACGCCCCCAGTGGAGGGGGCACTCTTGCGGGCAGCCTTGGTGGCCAGCTGCTTACGAGGAGCCTTTCCTCCAGTGGACTTACGAGCGGTCTGCTTAGTACGAGCCATTGCGACAAAGTATCACCTGTATGGAAATAGAAAAAACATAACCGGTTGATTATTGTTGTTCATTCTATACCTTTTCTTCCGGACACATTTTAGAGCTCCCACTTGGATCAACAAACGGCATCACAAACGGCATCTCACACACACACACACACACACATACACATACACATACACACACATACACACACACACACACACACACACACACACACACACACACACACACACACACACACACGTTATTATTGAGCAACTGCCCTGCAACATTACTTAATATTGAATATATACATTATTATATTACATTACAGGTCATTTAACTGATGCTTTTATCCAAAACGACTTACATTGCATTTTTAACCCATGGTTTTTACATTTTTGCCCGGGGAGCAACTAGGGGTTAGGTGTCTTGCTCAGGGACACTTTGACTATAATGAGTGATGGGATGTTGTTAAAAAAAGAAAGAAAAAAAAGACACATGTGGTTGTATGCTGTTTGTCCTTCCTGGACCGCTGGTAATAGGATGTATCGTACAGCGCTGGGAATTATAGCAGAATGTTGTAATCAATCAGGAAATTGACAGTTAACTCACATAATTAAAATTCAGACTGAGGAACATTTCAGTGATGCCTTCATTTTGAGAATTGTATCAACGTTAGCTGTTATCACCATGCCGCCAAATATCTCCATAAGACTACATGTAAAATCGTATTCTTAAGTATTCCTGCAGGGGATCCGGCTCAGTGCCTTTGATGGGCAATCAATCATGAGCCGCACAGACTCCTTCCGAGCCAAACATGACATCTTTGGCTCCAGACCACACCGCTAAACTGGTGCTATTCTGAAATCCACCATGTCACATTTCAGGGACCAATAGCGTTGCAGTCTGCTGGGTTTTAGGGCGGGACGAGACGTCTAGACCCCGCCCCATTCCGCAAGATTATGGCCGCAGACCTAATTGAACCTTCCAACCAACACACGGGCCATGAGCGAGACGTAAACTTTGATATTTACCCTCAAAATTAAACAACGTGCGCACACGAGACTACCAACAAAACGGAGGAGACGAGTTCAGCTATCAAATAAGCCTCCAGGCGGGAGAAACGATGGCGTATTAAAGCGATACAGTGAAGTAGAAACACACAGAAAGTGGAGCAGCTATTTCGGCGGTGGAAGTACTGAGCCGTTCTTCGCTCGGCGGTGGCATCGGTGCTTCTTCTCCTCTACCGCGTCGAAATAACACAACATCACAGCACAAAAACAACTTTTTGTCTCATTTTCTTCACAAAAAGGCGAATACTATTCTATGACTTTAAAAGTATGACAGAAATGTGACTTACCGACGCTGAATTTAGCGCTGTTTTCCTCGACAGGGTCCAAGTGAGTAGCGCTAGTCTGGCGGTGTCAGATATTTACCATCTCTCGCACAATGGAAGCGGGCGAGAGGAGCAAAATGGCGGCGTGTCAATCATCCGCCTCCCAGAATGCAACTGCAGCCGTTTGTAAACATTGTAGCCGGACTTCGTGTCCTCGCTGCAACTTTTTGTCCCAAACGTTAGTTTTTAATACAATAGGAAAACACCACGGTAACAAAAAAAGCTTGCTCTATTATGCTTTCTCCAAGTATTCAGGCATGTATTATGCATTATGAATCTACAACAAAATGTCATTTTAAGAAATCAATATACAATAAATGAGAAGACGTTGTGCCTGTAAATCTGCTCAAGCGCAGTACTTTTTTCAAATCCAATTGAATGCTGAATTACTTTTTAACAGTATATCTGAAGTGTGTTGTTTCTACTTTTATCAGAGTACTTTTTACACCAATAATTTATAATATTTTAGTTTAATTCAATTTAATGGCATTACGTTAAGTTTGTAAGATTTCTACCTTATTTCGAGACATAATCTAATACTATAATATACGTGCAGAAACTATTTTCGGTATATAATTGTAGGAAAATAAGCAAAGTTATTGGGGCAGTCAATAAAGAATAAAGTAAGGGAGTAAGTGGAATCAACGCGCGATCACAGATCATGAGTAAATTAAGACTTGGTCACTTGAATGGTAAACCAGTAGTAAAAAGGAAACATGCTGGTTGCTGTAAGAAGTGCCAAGAAAAGGAAATGTCCTGATTCTATGCAGGGAGTATGAAGAGAGGCAAGAGCCAAATCCAGGTGATAACTATTGAGGGTAAACACAGGTGTAATTGATAGAACTCAATCATGGTGTCGTTCTGTTATTTAGGTCGTAGTTATTCCAGAGAGCCGGCATACACAATAACAGCTAAATGGAACCGTGTTATTAATCCCCTCTGTGTTTACACTGCAGAGTCATGTAGACAATGGAGACAGGGAGGAGACAACAGACGATGGTTAGGTTTTTGAAAGCAACCAATGTGTCATAAAGGCTGTCAATGGAAGGAGAATCTCTGTTGACAATCAGATCCAGTAGGAGGCAGCCTGCCGCCAACAGCTATGAATCCCCACAGGATGAGGAAAGTGATGTAAAAGGAAAGAGCGAACTACAGGAAGAGCTCGAGCTCCTTGATAATTATGAGGTTAGTCACCCACACATGCCCACTGCATCTGTTGCCAGCTAGTTATGCTATAAAAAGGGTATCTTACATAAAATGTCTTTACAAATATCATTGAATATTAATAATAATCTTACACAGGAAGATAAATAAGTATGCCATATATGCGTGTCGTAAATTAATTTAATAGTTTATTATGACAAAACTAATTTTTTAATATGCCATGATAAAATATAATTATGTATATAGATAAAAAAAGGTGATTATTAGTATAATATAAATATATAATATATACAGTATTGGAAGAATGTCAGAACAATTTCCTAGTATCATAAAGGAGTGTCATAACAATCTTAAAAGTATTATGCCATAAAAGATGAATAATATACTGATTTTGATATATTGTTACACTCTCATAAAGAAGCATAGTATGCATTTGGAGATTTCAAAAGAAAACATGGGATAATATGTCATTTTCATGCCATTAAATAGCTTAATATGCAGTGCTGTGAATTCCAATTCTTGTGAAAATGTCATAAAAATGTCTATGTTAACGATTACTATTCAAATTCCATTACAACTCATGCTGTAATGGGCAATGAAACTAATTACAAATGTCATAGAATAGAATTCCATATCAAAAATATATCATGATATACCTTTGCCATGAAACAACAGAATAGTATAAAATAGTAGGCAAGTGATGATATGTCATATGTAACTGACTTCCTATCATACTACGGGATGGTTGAAGACAAATAAGAGTGGGGTTAAGGTCCTCCGGTGGGGGCCGGGCAGCCTGTTGTAGTGGAGCACCGAGCCACACAGATGCCAGCTGGGCCCGGCGCCGTCCGGCAACGCTGCGTCCCCTGTGGTGCCATAGACTTCACTATGGCTCCATTCAACTTCATGCTTTTACACAACATACACTTTCTATAACTTAACATGTATGCTGTGACTCCTAAGATCCATGGGCATTTTATAATGCCCAAATGGAAATGTAATACTTTTCAAACATAACTAATTTTTGATGTACTACTTTTAATCAGGTACTGTACCATTCTATGCCATTTTAAAATAACACACCATGACTTTTTAAACTGATCACATGACCTTTTTAAAGCGTTTTTTTACAAACTCAAAGTTGAGCATGTCAAATCGCTCTTATGGTAAATCAAAAAGGTCCGATCAACCATGTTGTGATTTACTGGGACTTAAAAAAAGAAATTCAAACAATTATATGTATATATATTCTTTTTTTCAGAATCGTACATTGTGACTTTTTTTACTTACGGTACGTGGCTTGCATTTTTTTGGGACGCTGTGATTTGATTCACTGGCTCTTGGTCTCGGGGCTGTTGGGATGCGCTCCTGGTGACCGTTTCTATTTAGTGGCGGACTCAACTGACTTAACAAGATTCGTCCGACTGGTCCAGCAGGCCAGTTTTAGGACGAACCCTCAAAACCATGGTCCCCCCCCCTTTCTTATCCTTGGTATATATTTTCTTGACATACGATAGCCTGACTTTTACCAACTTGGGATAATTGGATGTTTTTCTCTTTTGTGACACTGTACAGAGACACATGGCACTTTTTGAAAACGTATTACACTTGACGTACAATTCTGTGACTTCATGTTTTGATATACTTTCACTTTCCTTGACATACTACACTTGCTTTTTAGACATTCCATATTATAGCTTTTTAATGACCATTTTAACAAAGTATACCAAGATATTTGTAACACACTATGTACCAAGTCGTTTCAGCCATACTCGTGAAACTTATGACTTATTTCTGTTTGAGTCCACAATCTACAGACCTTGTTTATACACAGAAAGATGTTTCAATGGAATTGAATAATCATGCAATCTTGGGCAAAGTACCTTATAAAGTTTCCCTGTGGAGTTTTCTAATAGAGAAACATCCAGTGATACTCGCCATGTGTATCCTTAACTCTGACAAAGCTTTTGAATGCATTTTCTTGTTTACATCTGTATTGTAGTTTTTGATAATAGAAAACAGAATCTTTTAGTTAACTTGAACTGTTATTTTCTAGGAAAGCAGCATGTCAGTGCAACTAGGCATCTCATCTCAAAGATTTGATGATCGACTAAGAAAAAATGAAATTACTTTTTCTTTACAGCTGATTTTTAAAGGAACATACCTGAGATTAACCTCCGCACACAAACATATTGTACCATCAATGTAAAATTAATGACAACCACCCACGCTGTGTGCTTGCGGCCCCGAAAGTAAATAGCAGAGGTGAATTTGTAACATCACCCACATATTGTAAGACCAATCTTGCAGCTATTCCTGAAGTTTTATTTATTTCATCTTACTGGAGATACCTGTAGTTGAGACTAGAGTGTTTTCACATTCAAGTACACAGTGCCTTACTTAAGTTCCCCATCTGAAAAGGTAGAGGCTTTAAATAAGGCAAGAGGAGAAAAACCTGCAAGTGAAACAAATCAGTTAAGAGTACAACCTGGATTTGAAACGTATTGTAATCCATTCATTAGGACACGTGGTATAATACCAGATAATCGTACCATACATTGAAATAAATGGCCCAGGTATCTACACAATAACAATTCCTTCTCTTATTGTTTTCATTTCAGAACTACAGAGGCCACTGATGCAAACAACCCGACCCAGTTAACTGTCGAGAATTATCAAAGGTGATCTAAAAAAAAGATATCACAATGTGCACCGGGATGAAAATAGTAAAAACAAGTAAATATGGTCAGATGGAACAAAACGTAAGGCTCATTACCAAGAGTCTTCCTCCTCCATAAAGCAGCTGCAACATTTGCTTCACCATATTGTTTGAGAGGACATTTTCAGCTTCATTCAGTTAGTCCAGTTCATGAAAATACCGTAATGGGGGAAAAAAGGAAATCAAAATATGTAGAACACATTTAGAAAGTTACAACAGGCATTCGTCCATCTCCCCCTCTTTAATCCCTTATGTGCAACAACTGCGCCGAGTTGCTTGGTCCCTCTTCGAATGAAGAACAGTAGAAGTACCAAAACATTCCATTTGGAGTCATTGAAATCGGTTTATAGCAAAGTTACATAAAAATGGCACAATCACACAGAAAACAAGACATTGATAAACCACTAATAACCGAGAGTAACGCATCGTAGCTCTTATTCAAAAGCTCCCACCCAGCCGGACCCTGGAGAGACATGGGTCGCTGTGTACACGTGAGCAGAGGGAGGCTGCAGGGACCCACATGCGTCCCCCTCCGTAACTTGTGCTGTAACATCCAGAAGGAACGCCATGGACAGAACGGTTCTGTAAAATAGGCTGCATGCATTTCTAAAATGCAATCCGTAATCCTGGTTGATGCTCATACCCAACGCCACACCTACAAATTTAAATAAAACCCCCCAACTAAATCCCTTTTTTTTTTAGTAGTGATTCTATTCATTTATATATATATATATTTTACATTTTTGCGATCTGTTAAAAGTACCATACTTCTTTCATAGCATATACATTTATGACTACTGTCTCAATCAATCATAATAATATGACCAGTTGGACAGTATATTCGTGTACATTCAGGAATTCCAGTAAAAAGTCTTTTCTTTACAATTCATTAAAAAAAAGGAGCAAAAATAAGGGGATACGACAGTCCACTGTCCTGCAGAGGCTGCAACCGTAGCTCAATAGTCTTTCTTCTATGCGGCTAAATAGAAGTTCACATGCCGCCGCCGCCTCCCCTCAATACTTCATTCTGTGCGCATCTCTGTGTCTGGCCTCTGCATGAGCAGGTCAGTCTGGATAAAGGCTCCCTGGCCCAGTGCTGTGGAGTACGCCCTGTTACCGTGACTCACCGTGAACCCCGGCGCGGGATAGGATCCGGCTACTACGCGTTTTTGAACCGGGGCCGGAGGCTGAGGTACCGGGTGGTAATCGTCCAGGTTATCGTAGTGTGACGGCACCGGTTTAAGGCCGTGTTTCTGATACGAGTAGTCCCTGTCCAGGTCGGCGTTGCCCTGGCTGTAGTGCTGCTGCTCCCGGACGCTGTGCGAGCGCTCCGGCTTGGAGCGGTCGAGCTGCTCCCGGGGGGCCGAAGGCTGCTCGTCCGTGCTGTGGTAGCCGCCGTGGGCTTTGACTTTAGTCTGGTGGTGGTCAGAATCGGGGCATTCGTAGCGTGGTTGGAAGTTCCTCTTGCTGGAATGTTCCTGCTGCCAGTGTTGCGAGCGGCTGGCGTCCCCGCTCTCCTGCTGATGGGACAGACTGTGGCTCAGAGTAGCTGGAAGGGAGTGAGAAGATTGGCACTTCTTAGAAGCACTTTGCTTGGCAAACCCGTCTGACTTGTCGCCCAGTGCCCCGCCCGGGGAGAGCTTGTCGGTGTCCATGTACACCAGGACGTCGGGGTCAGACACCATGTGTCTAGGGAGGTAGCGCCCGTCTTTGCTCTCGGCTGCAACCAGAACAGCTTTGCCTGGGTCAGATTTACTGCGTAGGTGCAGGGCTTCATAGCATGATATATCGGAGGGTGCGAACAAGCCAACGTTGTCGTACTGAGAAAGGACGGGGCCTTTGATCTTCTGCCTGGCCCTGCTCTCCCTGCGGATGGAGTGCATGCGGAGCCTTTCTGACTCCTGAGGATCCCAAGCAAGGTAAGCAGCGGCTTCCTTGGTGCCGTGACCGGGGGGCATGTCCCTGCTCACAAAGCTATGCTCCTTACCCGGCGGGAGAACATGGCGTGCGAGGTAGTGGTACCCGGTTGCCTTTCCAGCCGGTCGAGCAGCAGCGAATCCCGGCTCTCGGCTGCCGTGGGAGTGACGGACTCGGATGGTTGCGTAAGGGTCAATGTCGTAGAAAGGCGCCTCCAGCGGGCTCGAGCCAGAGTACGGGCTGTAGCGATACTGAACCCGTCCATTCTCAAAGTAAGGCTGCAGCTGTGTGACGTGGTAGTCGGTTTGGGAGGACTGCTGCGCGGGCTGAGGGGGCTGCTGGTAGGCCTTGCACTGGTACACGGGTCGTTGGCAGAAGAACATTTCATCATCTGGAGGAACTTCGGTCCTTTGGATGGGCACTGAGCGGATAGTGGAGGGGACGTGGAGTGAGTGCACTCTGCGGATGGTGGGATACCCTTGGTTTCGGTCATGGCTGTAACCCTGAGGCCCCGGCCCCGGGGACACGTACACACTGCGGGGGTTTCCTCTGGACTTCATGGAGTGGTGATAGGACCTAGGGCCTAAAGTGCTGTATCGGTTGTCTAGTCGGGCACTGTAAGGGATCTGAGGCTCTGATTTGGACACGTAGGACAGGTGTGGCGGCACGCTGTCGGGCCGGAAGTGGTGTAGCACAGACTGGGGGCCCAGCGTAACAGGCCTCTGGTGGTAGTATGCAGCAGCAGACGCCTCAAGTAGGCCCGGCTCTCCTTTAGCGTGGTACAGGTAGGCCGGCTGGTGCGTGGATGATTTGCGAGGAGAAGGAGGATGGTGAGGCGAAGCATTCTCCTGGTGGCCGGGCACAGGGCCTTCACCCAAGATGTGGCAGGAGGCGTCACTCTGGCTCAGAGCCGCTGTGGCCAGTTTGCTCTCTATGGTGCGGACGGGAGGGGCCGGAGGTTTCGGGTAAACCTCTTGGTGCTTTGCAGGCTCTGCACACGGCTGTACAGGCTTTATGGCCTCCCAAGGCTTCTCAGCGGGCTCAGCGGAGGTGGGGGCCACTCTTGCACTAGCCTTCGAGGGGAGCTGAGGCTGGTGGGGTTGGACCGGTGTCTGGGAATGTGTGGGAGGCTGCGGTGGGAGATGAGGATGCATTAAAGCATGGCTCTGCTGAGGAGTTTGCGACTGATGCTGGGCCAGTGAGACAGAATGCCTCTTGGGTTTCTGAGGTGGCCCTTCCGAGGGTTTCGGAAGGACTTGGGGGGGTAGAGTGTTCTCAAGTGGGACCTGAGACAAATGGGAACAGAACAGACTTTTATTTGCTGAGGAAAACAAGCGATTACCATCTCATGCTGTATTGTGTCACCATTCTAGTTGGGGGGTACTAGAATGGGCAGCAGCATGGTAAACATTAATTAAACATTAAACACACCGCAAAAGTGCCTTGCTTATGGTAGTTGGCACAGACATTTTACATGTTGTACACTCAGGTTCTACCACTAGTACAAATACCAAGAATTCCCCAATACAAATCTAGAATTTAAATTAAGTTAAAGCAGAAAATGAATAGTATGTGGATAAAAATAGCCATTTCCCCGTTTCCAATCTTTATGCTAAGCTAATAGAGTGTGCTGGCTGTAGCTTGATATTCAATGTACAGCGATGACAGTGATATCAATCCTATTACCGTAAGCGTACTTCTCAAAATGCTGCCCTCTACCTGCAGAATAACCAGCTCACGTTATATTGCGTATGAAATATTCATTTGCAGCGTGCTCACAGCAGCTGAATATCACAACCGTTTAAAAACGTATAAGTAGTAGAAGCCTAAACACTTACTTCAGGTAGTAGTTTAGGAAAGACACCAGGCTCTCTGAGAGGGGTTCTTGATGAGCTGGTTCGGACTGGGACCGGATTAGCAACAGGCTGCTGCCTCTCTGGACTTTTCCTGATTGGAGAAGTCCGGCTGGTGGGACTGGGGAGTGGGGCACACTTGTAAAAAGGAGTGTCTGGTGGGGAGGAGTCTATTCCTGGCTGTGTTCCGCGTGGAGAGGTGGAGAACCTGCTGCTGTCCGATGGCTTGGTAATGGTGCTGGTCACCTCCGGAGGCTGCTGATGGATTGTAGGACTGGAGGCGGAGGGATGAGCTGAGGGTGTGGCGACGGCCGGGGACATGCTGTTTGGCGGCGGGGGACTCCCTCTCCCCGTTCCCTCCTCAGAAGAAGCCCAGAAGTGTGGGAACGGTGGATGTGTCGAGTCCTGGGAGTCAGAAGCCTGCCGGGGCTGCAGAGGGGACTCTGGCGTGGAGGGCTCAGAGGACCGCGACTGACACTGAATGGAGACCTGCTGAGCGGACTCGGCCAAGGCCAGGGCCAACATGCGGGCAGCATTTTTAGGAGGGGGGGGAGACGGAGGGGCGGGAGGGGTAGTGGTGGGAGCCGTGGCGCTGAGGGAACAGGGGATGAGGTCCTTTGAAGAGTCCGGAGCTACGACTCCTAGCACAGACACAAAAACACAAGGGGTCTATGGTTGAAGTACGAATAAGCAAAAGAGCAGCAAGCAGGCTGGTTTTAAGGTGCCTCAGGAACGGGAAAGAGGGGAAAAGTTAAGCCTGGTGCTCGGGCATCACGTGAATAGGTTTGTTTAAGATGAAATGCATGCAAACCTGGAAAACTAATCCTAGAAAAAAAAAGAACGCACACATTGGCACAATTCATAAACGTATTCTTATTCTAAGTAGTGTAAAAAAGCAGTGTCAAGTCAGATAAGCTACCCTTAAAAAGATCATTCTTTGCTCCCTACCTTGGTGCTCTTGGCTGCTGACAGCTGGCGCCTGCTTCACGCCGTCCCCTCCCATCAGCTCTTGACTGTCCACACTGTCAAAGGCTGCCAGCTTAGAGTGCAGCTCCATTTGGAAAGCTTCACTTAACGATGGCTCGGCTTTGGCTGCCGAAGGAGGCGATAACGGCTGTGAAGAGGCAAACTGTCCAGCCAAAGTCTTGTCCGCCATTTCTGTCGAGAAAAGTTCTGAACTGGCAATCGGCGTCAAGCTACTGGTCTTTCCACATTTAATAGGCGACACAGCCTGTGTTGGTTTATCGGTGTACGAATATGAAGCGGTCAGTTTCTTGTTTGCCACCTTCTCTCCAGCAGCCAGGCTGAAGTCTGCAGGCGACAAAGGGGACATCAAGCCGCCCAGGAAGTTTGCAGCCATGAGGTCAGAGCCGTTGGTCTTGCCGCAGACGCTGCCGGGACTCCTCTTTAACGTGGGCCCCGCCGCCCCGGCGGGTGAGTCGTCGAGCGGGAAGGCGTAAGAGGTGTCGGGTAGACTGCACTGGAAAGACATGGGGTCAAAGTCCAAGGAGGCCATGCCGATGTCTGGCGGGCTAAGGTCCACGTCTTCCCCCGCCGAGCGGGGGGGTGAGATGAGGGCGGGCACACAGATGGGGCCGTCGTCTCCGTCGCTGTCCTCTGTGGCGTTCAGGTTGTCGTAGGAGTTGCAGTGCTGCCGGCTGTCCAGCAGCTCGCCGTTGAAGGAGGCTGACAGGGCGTCGCTGCTGGAACGCGGCCGCCGAGGCCGGTACACCTTGGACTCTCCTGAAGGACGAACAGAACGCGCTCAGAAACGTCCTTTACCGAGCCTCAAGTACAACAGCAGGCTAAACTGCAGTTCAGTGGTTCACAAACTTTAACCCCAACCCCCCTATGATAATATAGAAACATCAAAAGGCCCCATCCCATTCTTTGTTTTGAATGCCACGTTGTGTATGTCATTTTTATTGCATGGGTGAACATATCATATAGTGCCCCATCTTTACAACTCTACCATTTACAGTGTGTGAGTCTGTGTGTTTGTGCCGATTACCTTCAACATTGTGCAGGGAACTCAGGGACTCTTCACTTTTGGCTGACCTCAATGTGGTTGTGTCTCCTCTGCCTCCTGAAACACAAGTGAGGAAAAGGTTTCAGCATTGATCATTCACATGAGCTCTTCTTACTGCACACTTGACCCCCTCACCAAGTCCCACCCCTCAAACCCTGTCAGCAGTTTCACAATTTTCCTTCCAAATGTGGAGCGAGGACTCACCAGCAATAGCCATGGCCTTTAGTTCATTGGGCTCACTAGGGTTGCGGTGCAGCTTGCGCTTTGACATGGAAGAAGACTTGCCAAGGTTGAAGAAAGAACGCCAACTACCCACTGGAGACTTCTTGGATTTAATAGGAGGTCTCTTCCTATGATTTATAAATTGTTAAGGACACATTAGTAATGAAAAGTTAGTTTCACTGACTCACATACACAGTGCTCAACGATTTAGACACAGGGATGAAAATGATCAAACATTGAGTCTGTTTTAAGCGATAAATGACCGCTTGCAGTATTGACAGCAACCAGCAGATGGAGACACATTCCAGCGTTATCGTGCATCAACCAGCATTAAAATAATAGTATGTTGCAACAGAATCTCCACTAGAGTTAAGACTAGGTCATAGATCTATGTCTCTGTGTATCTGATAGAGTTTATCTTGATTTCCTGAAGATATCCAAATGACATTTCAGTAAGAGGAGTTAACAAACCTCTCGGTGGGAAACTCGATGACAGTGTGGAACTTTCCCTGCAGGGCAGCTGGACCTTCGCCCACCTCGATGTACTTGCTGTCTTCAGTGACTGGAGAGTTGATCTGAGCCTGGGTCCTGGCCTGGGCTTCCTCCAGACTCAGCAGTTTAGTAGAAGGTGACGAAACCAGCAGGGATTTGGGCCGCGACAAGGAGTTGTGACCTGGTGGTGTGGAACAGTGTTCATCAGAGAGAGCAGCAGTAGGTAGCGGAGCAACTGTGTGAGCGGTTCGTACCTGCTCCCTCCCGTATCAGTGAACTGAGTTTGGTGCTGAAGAGAACATCCACGTGGTTCAGGATGAACTCCACCACCACCGACTGGATTCGGACTTCCATGAAGGCCGCTGTGCCACTGAAGCAGGCGGACTCTATCTGCTTGGACCTGGAGAATTGTGTTTGATTCAGTAATGATTCCAATTTAAACTAGCGCAACATTTGAAGATGGTGAATTAAACAAATAAATAGTGGGGGTTTAAGTTACAAAAAACTTTTTGGAATGAATTTCCAGCCTTTATTATTGTGTTGATCAGTATTCTCCCAAAGAAACAGCTGCTTGAATCCTTCTCAATCCGGTAGAATGACTAATAGAATCTAATTAAAGCAGGAGGCGCACCCTTCAATCGCAGCTAATTCAAGTCTCACAATTCCTTAATGGGAGAAGTAAAAAAAACACGCACAATAGCTCTGTGTCAAAATGTGAAGATCATTGGAATTTTCACGAGACATGTAATAATAACTCAAAGAACAGACAACAGCCAGTGGAGTCGGCTTGTGGGTTAAGATTGACGCACACTGAAAAAAAGGCATGTTTGAGCGGGACGGCGTCTCACCTAAGCAGGTTGGGCGCCCAGACGATGGCCAAGTTCTTGCTGTGCATATTGGTGATGTAGCTGAACGCTGCCAGTTGGGAGAGGTGTCTCATGAGGAACTCCAGGGTCCTAGAAATCAAATATCAATTCATTCAGATTTAATTGGCCCCCGCTAGCAATCAGCACACAAACACACTGCCTGCACAGTGCATTTTAACGTGAACAGACACCCAGCCTGCGTAACCACACACAAGCGCGCGTAACCATTTCGGGAGTTCACGAGCTGGCCACAGGGGGGCAGTGTGCCTCTAGACTGACCTGTAATGCGGTGGAGGAAGCTGCTGGATGACATCATGGATTTTGATGAGTCGCTCTTCGTCCGTTGCTGCTGATACGGCATCCTGCATGGAAAAAACAAAAGGGAGAGATGGAGGAATAAATAGTGAGATGTATCAGAACAGCGTCAAACCCCCTTTTCATCGCTGCTACATGGAGCATGGAGGGGACATCCCTGGTTGCCATAGCAACCAACAAACATTTACTTGCTATGCCGAGTGACCGAGCGGTTTACTACATTTGGAATGATTTGGGTGTGTCGATAATGCAACGGAGTCTGTGACTCATGACTGCAAGACACATTTGCAGAATTTGTCAGTATGATTTTCTTTCTTTGCTATAAAGATCGAGCAGTCAGTCACAGCCAATCGGTGTCCTTTTGGGACATCAGTAATCACTGAACACGGTTTTCTTCATAATTGAACTACAATGAAATATGTTCAAAAGCCACCTTCATTCCTGAGGTGAAGAGCAATTTCAATAAAACTAAAAGGTGTTGAAAGAAAAGACCTCAGTTAACTCAGTCTGTCCTTGTGACTCTTCATTGCATTAAGTTTGCTGGTTGGGTTCAGCCTTAGTAATACACATTGTTACATGTTGGGCAGTGCAGAATGATATTTGATTGAACAGGCAGGTAGTAATAACAGAAGCAAGAAATAGTTGTGCAGTGTTGAGTCCCGCTAAGGCTCTGCTTACGGAGAACTTCTCGTAGAGCTGGTAGGTGAGCAGGGGGTTGGGCAGCTCTCTGAAGTAGAGCTTGCACAGCGAGCCCACACAGTGGATGTCCTGGATGTAAACATCTTTGGTCAGGTCGGGGATCTGCTCAGAGTCAAACTCGTGCCTGGCAGAATAGAAAGAAGACAATGGAAACGTCAACAACTGAACCTCTGCTGAACAAAAGGTGCATCGATAAAGGGCTGCGTAGTTTGGTGGCGGCACACGACACACGGGAAAAGTTGAAGAAATGTTTGCGTATCGATGCTGTTGGTTCCGCTATGGTAATCGGCATGGCACTAATGCAGCAGACTGTTAATTAATATTTGTAATACATTGAGAATATTTTGAAGTGCAATGTTAAAAAAAGGTATTCATAAAACTCTTTGAGTGATTAAATCTGTGGCCTGAGAGGCAAAGTTCACGGTAAAAACCCAAAGGTTAATACGTCATATTGTTAGCTCAGACTAATTGAAAAATGATCTGGATGACAATCTCTTACATTTGAAATGTGGAAGCTCAACAATGAGTGAGAGATAAGTGAGGAAACTACCCTCCTGCACATGGTCGACCCCACTTTCTATTCTATATACTATATAATACTATTCTGCTTACTTGCGTGTAAGCACACAACTCCCAGCGTCTCACAAACAAGAACTCCTTTAAAAACTTTTTACAAGCCACAATTGTGGTCAAAGCTCCATTTACAAATGTCCAGCCCAGTTAAATAGCTCCTAAAATCGGCTGATGAGGAACAACGGTTACCCTGTGAGTCATCCCAATGCTTTTCTTTCTTTTACAGATGCAATAATCAGATGCAATCACATGTTATCAGCAAGTACATTGAATGAAATGCTGTGATAAACCGGCTCCTACCGCAACTTCTGGATGTTTGAGGCGATCCCAGAGAGGCGGTACATGCCGTCCACCACGCCATGCTTCTCGATGAACTCGGTGCAGCTCTTGAGGACCTGGGGCACTGCAGAGAGAAGACACAAAACGGGTTAAACAAAACAGCAGGTCATCACACAACACTGTTGTCTGTCAACATTGGTCCAGTCTTCACTGAGAGCTGCGAGGTCAAGAATGTGGGGACTTTTCTCCCGAGTGCAGAGCGGTCGGGCCAGAGCTCCGGGGCTCAGAAGCATTACAGACTTTCTAGTGCTATTGGAAGGAAATGATGAGTGCAGAAACATTTGACCCATGTCAAGGAGAGACCAAAATATCCAGAAGAGCATAAAAAGGAGTTTGGTCTTCTTTTACTTGTACTTTTGGTTTTTCTTTAACCCATTTTCTACATGGACGCAGATCTGTGTTTGAATGAAGCAGCCAATCACATCCGCTTCAAAGCACAATATTAATGACTGTGTTTTTGAGCTGGGACAGACCGAAATAAAAAGCTCTTAATTCCCTTTGAGCCAACCATGAATCACGCAGACATGCTATTTATCAATGTGTGTGTGTGTGTGTGTTAGATAAGGATGGTGTGCATGATCTCCCAAGCCTCCCACAGCTCACACATCATTCAGAGGATGACAAAGTGGGACGCTCGTAGAAGCAGCTGCTCAGACAAATTCCGCACATAGCGAAGGAGAAAACGAGGCGAGGTTTGAGGAGAGCACATTCTGCGGCAGAAGAGGACTCCAAGTTCTTCACGTAGGAACCTTGTTGTTGTAGCGTCCTCGTCTCATCCAAGTGTCATTTGTGATAAGAGAACGTAACAGTACGTCTTTTGAATGTGGCGTTAGTTAGTTGGATTGTGTTCCTTTTGGAAGCTCAAAACGATTGAAGTGACATTGGTGGTGTTCAGGGCCGGACTAAAGTAGTCTTTGAGAATGTGTAGCGTATTCAGCTTTAAAGCTTTCCTGAAATTGGTCGGAATTGGAATAATTCAATGTTTCTATTGTAATCTGTAATATTTGGAACAAATCAGAAAGACTGGCATTTTTATAGAGCCAAGTGATGAAACTGGTGAGATGTTCAGGGTCAGAGCTCATCATCGGGCGTGAGTAGGCAGATCCCAGACCAGCCCCTCAACAGCTTGCCCCCTCTATACTAGAGTTTTATTTCGTGGAGACTTTAACTTCTATGAAGCAAGAAATATAGTCTAGGTCTACCTATCGAAATACCAGGAATGAATCACAACCAACTACTATATATTAAGCTAAGCTTTTGTTGAGTTGCCTCTTAATGCACAGTGCTTTTAATTGGTTGGGTTTTAACAGCGGAGCAGCAGCTTTACGCTGGTTGGAGCTGACGTCACAGCGTAATGAGGACGCCGTCACCCGCCGCTCTGCCATTGAGACCATCACCGTTCTGCTGAGTGCTCAGGAAATCAATGTCGCTACAGCACATCAACAGAGGTATGGATTTTAGCCCAGCGAAAACCTGAACTGTAACCAGATAGAGCTGTTGTTTACAGTTAGTGTGTGCTGTGTATTTAGCGGTTCATAATGACTCATATAAAAAGCATCAGCTTATAGATCGGAACAGGTGGAGGAGCAGGTGTGTCTTGAGTAGTAACATTTGCTGCAACAAATAGTTAACACTTGCAGTCATGTCAACTGTATATGCTCAAAATAAAGATGATTAAGTCCATTAAGTACCATCATTTGGTCATGATGATCCTTTGTGCCATGGTGACCCTGAATGAACTGATCGTGAACAGAGCATGATTGTGTTCATCTGTAAATTTATGTGTTGCACTTCCTTGTCACCTTCCTAATCAAAAGAACCTGACTGTCTTGTTTGTCTGAGGCAGAGGGACTACTTTTTGTCTGAGCTCAAGCGCTACTGTGAAGTCATGTCACTGTGAGCAAATAACCAAAGGAAAACTCCATCGCACAAAGGGTAAACGGACTTGACATGTAGTATTTTCTAGTCTGTGTACGTGTCATAGTTCACCCATTCACACACTGAAAGCAGGGGCTGCTGCACAAGGAGCCACCTGCCAAACAGGACTAACCACTGATCATCTGCTGGATGGAGGACCACTGAGCCACAGTTGCCCTGTAAAGAAGGAACTATTTGTTTTTACCCTCAAACAAGGTTTGACTTAACATTGATTAATGAGCTTTAGAGGTGCTTGTGGCCAGATTAAATGGATCCAGAAAACACTGGCGCTCTGAGGTGTGTCCACACAGGTCTCACCATCATGTCCCGAGTTGAGGAGGTGCTCTCCCAGGTCGCAGCCGAACACCCTCTCCCGGAGGATGCCTCTCTGCTTCAGCTTCTGCTTGGTGGGCCGGGACTTCATGAAGGTGCGCAAGAAGGTGATCAGCTTCCCGTGCTTCTTAGACACTGAGGAACAAGGGAGGGGAGGAAGGAAGGACACATCTTAGACTTCTCACACGGCTGTTTTCCACTTGTGTCTAGCCGACTGGAGTGAAACGCCACACAAGGTACTCAGGCTTGTCCCATTGTGCATTTCAGCTTCATTCTAATGCAAACTCTTCTTTTATGAGCATGTAGTTTCCTTGAGGCGGAGGCTTCGTTTTTAGAAACCACCTCCCAGGCAACTACAAAGGAATCCCCAACATCCAATACCAGTATCTTCCGCTCGGCTTCCGAGCAGGACAAAAAAAGATGAAGGAGCAGACCTACTTAGAAAGCAAAACCGCATTAATCAGATACTGTGTCTGGGAAAGGCTCGTAAGCTTCTTAAACTGACAGGTTTATGGCGGAGTTTGGGGGACAATGGCGCTGGCTCCACATCAGATATAAAAAAAAAAAAAGAGAGAAAATCACACACTGGTAAGGTGACATCAGCTCAGTGTTTTTCCACTCTTGGGATTTGTGATTCTGGGAAAAAGAAGAAATAGACTCTAATAAGAGTTTAAGCCATCGATCTCAAATCTTAGTAACCCAAACCGTCACAAACGACACGCAAAACGTCACAGCTTGTGGTTTTCTAAATATAGCCGTGTGATTGTTTAATGCCTTTATTCGCGCTGCAGAAGTTGGAAATTTAAACTCTTCCGGGGTAAAAGTATGCGTCATTTATGCAGATTATACTTTACATTCTGTTTAGTGACAGTAAATTTCTGTTAGCGTGCAAATCAATCGAATAGAAAATAAAACCCCACCCGGTTTTACCAAGTTGAATATTTCCCTATCCGGTGAAGAAGAGGACCGGACCGATCATGTTAACCATCTCTTTCCCAGCTGAACGGCCCTGTGAAGTTTTCCACTCAGACACCTCTTTGTCTCCGTGTCCTCTCCGTGTCCTCTCGGTGCCTACAGTCTAACATCAGCTCCTGCCACGAGTCGTCCCTCTTCAATCCTCTTACACCTCACACACACTTTCAGCGGCAACTGTTCCTATTACAACTTTGCAGTTTTATACTTTTGCTGCTGTCCCTCCAGAATCCCAGAGAGAAATGGCCAACAGAAGAACGTCCACCCTCAGACATGGAAGTCAACACATGGTTCCCTATCCTATGACTCTCAGCAGCGCCACATCTGGAACTTCACTAAATCTCTGGAGACGGAGCAGGCACAAGTGGAAAACTCACTTTTATAATGGTACATTCCTTTAACTAATGAAATCAGTCGCGATCGCAATCCTTTCCCTTCCTGTATGCGTTTCACAGACCTGACATTACCTGCTGCAAACCTTCCCACACACACACACACACACACGCAAGCAATTTAAAGAGGAAAGCATTAAGAATTCAATCAGAGTAAATGCCAAGCTTAAATCTGCTTTCATCCAAGTACAACAGAAAGTAGGCCACTGCTTAGCAAAGAAACAAAGCCAGCGGAGGTAAAGAAAGACACCTCTGTGTGTTTGCAAGATAACAATAGAACCATAAAAGTGTGAAGGCGGCGTTTAAAACTCCCAGCAGATGATTCACATACAGAGACCCACATGGCAGCATTAAGTAAACACGTGCTGTAACAAATATCATTATTTACAAACCCCCGAACAGACTCACTGCGAGAGACTCGTGGGCGTTAGAGGCCCAAAGACCATTAGGTGAAAATTAATGAGGCTGCCTGTCTCGCTAGACGTACGCTATGGAGCTAAGTGGGGGAGGCGCATTTAATAGTCTGCCGCGTCCCGTTAGAACGCACACATCAAGACCAGACTCCCACTAACGAGCTGATGGGAAAGGAAAGAACCTTTGTAGCTAAATTCATTTCGCAGTTTCTCCTTGTTTGGGCACAATACTGACAAAAATATGTATACGCACTCATTAAAATGTCAATGCTTATGTCTGACTATGTTTAGAGTCTTTCTTTACTTTTGATGTTTTTAACAAGTGTGGATTGATTTTGATCCAACGTGTCCATACATGGCGTGTTTCTGTGTGATACATCGTCTCACTTCGGTTACAATAAAAATAGAATTCGTCATTTAGTGTTTTTTTCAGCTGAATTCTTTCAGCTGTAAACACATTTAAAATAATGAAACCCTTGCCAGCGCACATTAATAAATACCTCTCCAAGTTAATAACTAACATGTGGAACAGACCTTTGAGTCCTGGCTCTCTATTGCGTGCCGTCTTAAATGACGCGGTGCAAATCGGTTCAGAATAAACAGCCGGCATCCCAGAACAAGATCCATCTTCAACAACTCACGGCTGGAACAAAGATCACCACTGAGGCAGCAGCTTTGTTTACTCACTGTTTAGGCATCAAGAATGGCCGTCGGTGTCGTGTCTAGTGGAGTTTTTTTTCTCAGAAAAAACAGACAGACTCAGTCTGGTTTTTGGGGGAAAAAAAAAGTAAAATTGCATCTACAAGCACGAGTCTCCGGGGGCCGGACAGAGACTCCCATCTGCTGACTGTCGAGCCAGATGGAGTCTGAGGGGGCCAGCAGCTCTGCAAGCAGGCTCAGCACTGAAAGCTGCCTCCGACGCGCTCAACACGAGGACCGAGCGACCGACACGGCCTTCAAAATGTGTTGCACGATGAATTGCTTCACAAAAGATTGAAGTCTTGCAGGGGATATATTTATGAAAGAATCCGTGCAGCAGAGGCCATGTGACCATCTGTGCCACGGTGAGGGTTTCGGGACAGATTTTTTCGTTTACAGATTGTAAAGCCTAATTTGTGATTTTGGGCCATGCTAAATAAAATGAATTGAATATTGACACGGCTCCTGAGCACCGCTTACGGATACGCTCCAGAAACGTATGAGGATGAAATCTCTGGACGGACGTGAACGCATGAGACAAGGACATAGAGCCCCGCGCTTGCTACTAGATCGGGTCACGACGCGTCCTTCCCCGACACATCAGCCTCTCCTGAGTGATCACTTACAGCATCGGCCAAGATTATCGATCGACCTCCACGTTGGTTTAACAGCTGACTGCAGGCGTGGCTCACCTTGTTTTCTTTACTAGCAGCTGTTGTGTCATTCATTTCTGCATTTTCTAACGATCTGACTGGCAACACGCGCAGGGAGCAGCTGTTATTTGGTCGATTAGCGAGCTGCGTCTCCAGCGGCGTTCGCAGGTCTACAAGGTGAACGCCTCATGTCACGGTTTGCATTTTCTTATGACTGCTCATCATGTTCTGCACAACTATTGTGACACTGAGGACACACAAAAACGGAACAAAGATTTTATAGGCAGATCTAAAGTATCCAGTACTACCTCTCATTATTAAAGACCACTATACTACTCTAACATTTGGACTTTTTAAACTAAGGAACCAATTTACTTCCTGTTTACACCGTGAAGTGATCTTGGTCTTCAGGCTTGCTAGTATGGAGATTATTTTAAAAAATGCTTAAAAACACCCGTGTGGACAGTTTGTTTTTGTTTTCTAACTTTTTTTCACAAAAACGTAGTGGCGCCACTCCCCTTATCATCTCCCATAATGGAACTCTCTTCCGCCCTGGTTACGAATCTCTCCCAAATGATAAAACGACCCTGATGATATCATCTCGTTGTTTTCTCAGAAATTCCTCTCCAGAGGAATGCTATGACTGTTTCTGCAGGCTGAGAGGTACTAAGAATGACAAACAGTTGGAAGAGAGAAGAGGCCAAGCATTACAGCAGGAACAATTACAGACGTAATGGCAAACCTTACGCTCCGTTTCCCCCGCGAAAAAAAGAAAACAGCGACCGGCTCATTCCACTTAGTTAGCATGAAGGACAAGTTGAGTGAAATTGCTTTACAAAGTAGAGCAGTGATATTATACAGCAAAATAACAGGCTCTAGACTACAACTACTGAGCTGTTTTACTATGTGGGCTCTTAAAGTAAAGTTACGTCTCTCCGGGAGTAACGCAGAAAAGAAAAAAAAAGTCAGTTATGTGATTGAATAGCTGTTGGAAGATGTCTACAAATTGCTTTTCTTAACTATCTTTAACAGCCAGTAATGAAATTCACCAAGCCAACCTCATGACCTCATGGCTCTCATTGAGAGAGAAAAGGGCATTTAACTATGCAGACATGACTTCCAGAGAGATAATGTTTGCATTGCTTATCAAACTAAAGGAGAACACTGTGTTAACGGCCATTAACACTTCCTTACAATCTCGCGATGGGGCTTGTGGATGGCCGTTTAGTGTCTGAACAACAGAGCAGTGTCTGCCTGCAGAAAGGCAGCTATGAGCCACGATGACCTCTGTCTGGACAGAGGGCGTGTGTGGTGATAGCCAAAGCAAAACGCCTTATTGTACCACGTCCCGGCGCACCCCGGAACAACCACTTTAGCCAGGAGGAGCCGAGGACCTGGGTGCTCTACCCCCCGAAAACAGATGGCACAACTGTACAACACAGCAGAATTTAAACACAAGTGTCATGAAAGGTCAATAGCAGCATCAGTACACAAAAATGTACCAACCAGAGGCCCCAAACCTACTTTTTTAAAAAAAATAAAAAGTTAAATTATGACATCACAAGAAAAACATATTTCAAATTGATGAATAAATAAATCACAAAACCCTATTTTAAAAGTGGCATAGTTACATAGTCGCACATATAATTGGAAGGAAGAGGCGAATGTTATTCCCTGTGGGGTGATAGGAAGGGTCCATATTTGCCACACCTCTGGAGAGCTTTGACAGCCCGTAACTTCATTTACAGTGTGACTCAATGCTTAAACAGCAGAAATCAACGGTGTAGCAGGTCGGTTTAGACAAAACACTTTGTGCCGGTTATATTTATGAAGGGAAACATTCGGGAATATACACAATTAATTACACTGCAGATGTAAAAGGCATCGTCCTACCTTTGCTCCATATGGAATCGCTGTGGGTGTTTTTACGCGGCTTTTTAAACTAGGTCCAAAGTACAACTACGTTGCCTATTTTTCCTTTTCTTTTGAACCGTAAACCTGAACGAAATAGCGCGGACACCTGCGCTGAAAAGGGCGAACACGAAGAGTGAGGAAGTTGAGAACAATTTGAGATGTGGACGCAACGAGCGGCGCTCAGTCAGCTCGCGTTGACTGAGTGAATCCACCCATTGGCTTACGTGCTGCCTTCAGGCGCTCCCGGAGAAAATGGGAAATACCGCAACACTACATACAAAGTTGCGGGTATTATTAAAGTAAATGTATGCATTGTTAATATATGCGACAATTAACAACTTGTGTTGGTATATCAAAGCAAGAATACTTAATAATTATGTTTGATGTCTGTGCTTTTCAATTTGGGAATTAGCAGGAAGGAGAAACAAAGCGCATAAAATTATTTTAGCGAATATTTTAAGCGCACAACCCTTTTAGTTGTTCACATGAGGTCTATCTAATCGTCACAACCCCAGTCATATTCATAATGCCGACATGCACATGTACTTATTTCTAATATTACCGACAGTTCATAAAGGCCGCACAGTCAACAGTGAGGGGTCTCCTGTCGTCTTGGAAGCATGATCTCATTAATTACCCAACTAGCTTAGTTCTTTAGCAGACATGCTAATCAAAAAATACTGGTGTCAGACTTTTCCCACTGCATGTGATTGCTTTAACTTCATCATTTCCACACAAAGACAAACAATTCACTGGGCTGATTCTCACATTTATCTTTGCATGTAGGTTATGATGTGTTGCTTGACTGATTAGCGTGCTGTAAAAAACAAAAATGCCACCTTTTGTTTTTGAGAGAATAGGTACTTATTTTCCTTAATCAATACTCAATATGAAATAAAAGAAAGTAGCCTTTATTGATCCCTGTGGAGAAATTATTCTCTGCATTGAACCCATCCCACGTAAAGGCACCCAGGGAGCAATTAGGGGTCAGGGGTCTTGGACACTTCGACACGGGACGTGGAGCAGCCGGGCATCGTTCCCTGTGCACCCCTCTACTCCATGCGCCCCCGAAAGAAGAAAAGGAAAGAAAGAATATGGTGAAGATATTCCTGTATTTTGAATGTAGGTATTTTACTCTTTGTGCAGTATTTTAATTGAATGTTATATTTGTACTTTTTACTATACGAGATGATGCGTTAAGGAAATGTTTTTCCCCCCCATGTGTTTAAATTCATCTAAACATCTAATCGGCAAACAAAATATCAAAATACTGACAAAAAATTAATGACAATTTGGCAGCGGTTGCGCAATTGTAATAAATTAAATAAATAAAAAATTAATAAAACTTTGTGCTGGATTTTTCAGTTTGGTTCATTCTCAAAATCTAGAGTAGGTAGCTTCTCCAAAGCTGCCAACCTCAACCAACCTGAAGTAGAAGATCAGAAAGGATCATAGTCCTACTGTCCTAAACCATCGCGAGACAGTGTTTCCCCCACCATTACCATTATGAGAGTGGAGGGGTGCACCCGTCCCCGAAAAAGTTTTTAAAAAAAAGAAAAAAAACATTTCCCAGGACCGTCAGCTCCTGAATTGAGTTTGAGAGCCCTGCTGTACATGTAAGCTGGTCATGTCGTAGAATGACAGGAGTTTCTCTCCTCTAATTCATTAGTCTACTTCTTACTTTCTTAAGTTCTTTTTACTAGCACATGTTTATCATTATACCTTGAAATTTAAAGTAGCGAGGGATTGCTTGGATAGCAGTTTGGATGTTGATGACATGCTGCAAACACTGAAGCTGTTTTGCATTGATCTGAATAATCTATGTTGGTCTTGCGATGCAGCGAGAACAAGTTATTTTGCAGTAGCACTAGTTTGGACGCTTTAGAACGACATACATAACTTGTCTTAAAAATGGGACACCAAAAGTTGCCATAATGATGCGATACGACTATGACACCGCACAGTTAGCAGTGACTCTCAGTGACACTAAATGCAGCAAAGGGGTAAAAAACAACAACAACAATCTTTGTGCTTTACACACTCGGTCATTTTGCAGCACGGTCCAAGTGGGTAATCGAAAGCAGCCCCCCCCCGCACCAACAAAGCTGCAGCCTACAACAACATTCTGTTATTGAAGCTACAGAGCAGAACGTTACACAAGGGGCCATGCAGAGTTTCACGCCCCGGAACCGGAGCGCCAGGAAATGACCTGAGCTCCTCGGGAACGGGAGGAGAAATCTCACTCTGTATCACACATGATCTGTCCAGTTTCACTCACATAAGCAGCTGTCTTCACATCTGCCCCAACCACTGGTCGGACACGACGAAGGCTCTAGATCTGGGTCAGTTACTAGTACGTAACCTGGAAACAATGTCATTTAAATGTCATCTCTTCTTTAGAAGAGAGTAGTCTCAGCTCTCGATCCCACTAGGAGGCATATCTTTTTGCAAAGATAAACATAGCTACAAACAGCAGTATGGTAATTGTTAAATACAGAAGTACACAGAAGACTAATAACAAGATTCCAGCATTTTCCATAGTTGCACTGAGGAACAGCAAAGGTTAGTGGTGGAGCAGAGTGGATCGAGGCAGAAGAGCACATATTTTGCTGCGTGGCTCCCTGCAGGAATGTGATCTTTCGGTCGCCATGGAGAGAGAGACAGGGATCCGTACTGTTGCAGGACAAAGCTCAGCGCTCAATGGATGGGTTTACAGGCCCCCGCATTGTAAAAGGATTAAAATAAATCAAGGCCGTTGGAGGCCGAGCGCCGCAGCCTTTTCAGACGCACAACGCAAACACAGCTGGCCTCCGCCCAGACAAGGCGTACATTCAGCCGCTTCGAGAAACACTGTAGTAACCTGGATCCCCCCTGGAGCCGTGCACGCACCTTGAGGGGGGGTCACTGAAAAAGAACAGTGAGACGGGGGACGTAAGGTTGTTCTCTTTTGGAGAGAAACGGTGGGATTTGCTTTTTACGCCACTACACCATATCCCCCAAATACCGACACACAACATACGCACACAGAAACACCCATTCTGACAAAACCTGCAACACATCCAAAATACAGCAGGACGATAAGAAACATCTCGTAACGTAAAAGGCATCTGCCGGAATTTAGGTAGCAAACTGAACAGGGGAGTATGGCAATTGTTGCATCACACGGATCTTTTCTAAGAGTGTGAGGTTAGAACAATTAAAGTGAATGCTGAACAATGGCGAAAAGAGCCATTTCCGCAGATCCTTAGCGGTCCACCATCAGAGCGTTGAGGTTATGTGTATAAGTGTGTTAAAGGGCCTGGACGGAACACTCTTATCACGTTGTGATATGTTATAAAGCAACACCAAAGAGTGCACAACATTATCTTATATAGAGCGAAGAGCGAAGCTATAACCCACACATCAAGCTACTGCCACAGGCATAGACTAGCCATACAATAAGTGCAAACACATCACATGGGGGGTGGAGGGGGGGTGGTGTAGTTAGCTTCTGGTTAAGAGTGGAAGAGCAACAGGACCAAAGGATATTTGTCTACCTGAACTTAGGCTGTAGTGGTTTAGCGGGTCGGCCACCCATGCACTGTCCTGTATTACACTCTCCATCTCCAAGTCTGCATGCAGCCCGATGGACAGATGGCCCCACAGACAGATGGATTGGATGCATGATGGAGACATGAGAGAGTCGGCAGAGGGAGAGAAGCACTTCAAGTTAGAGAACAGGGCAACAGTGTACTTTGGACCTGTGAGGTCAGCGGCTTTGCATAGAAATGACACTCTGATGCAAAGATAAAGCGCTCTGTGAGACCGTGTGCGGATAAAAGTAAAATGCTCAGTCATAAAGTACACTCAATTAAAGAAGAATTTCATTTATCAATAAAACAAGTCTTGTTTTGTGAGATTAATTTAACTCTGAAGTTATAATCCTTAAGACTTTCACAACTCATTTTACCTGTACTTATTCTTAAAGCCAGAATTATTTTCAGCGTATACATTTATTCTGTTTTAGTTCATCAACACATATTTTCGACCCCTAAAACATTCAGTATTGGTTCAAGTGTTCCCCCGACTATGGATTAAAACCTTATGCCACCCCACTTTAAAACCCCCCGACTATCCCCTTAGGTTACTGCTGATGTTAACACAGATATTTATAGTCGGCCCTCGTTAAGCAGACACAGGACACGGAAGTGTGGCAACATTAGATGGTGATGGTAAAAGGAGGGAGAACCACAGGCGGCTGTTGAGGGACAGGCTGCACACCTCCAACTCTTCAGTACATGCAACCAACCAGGATTACAGTTCCTTCATAGAACTACAGCAGAAAACCAGAAGGAGGTTACTCATGAGACTCATGAGACCAATGAAAACTGGTTACCCACTACTATATATATATATATATATATATATCTTAAATATATATCTTAAAACTGGTTACCCACTACTATATATATAAATAGTAGTGGGTAACCAGTTTTCATTGGTCTCATGAGTCTTATGAGTAACCTCCTTCTGGTTTGTGAAGATGCACTGGTTGCACGTTTATTGTGTTTTAGATCAAGGTGTGTTTGCTGCCCCCAGAATTCTGTAGCGTTGAACCGCAGCGCAGGAATGAAAGTCTTATGGATTATTACTTTAACTCCAGTCAGACAATCGGTCATATGAGTGTCATAATGGTGAATGCGGGGCGAGTGGATGTGGATGAGGTGTGTATACCAGCACGCACAGGGAGGGAAGAGACTCCAAGAAGCAGGCTGCAGGCCAGAGCAGGGGGAGGCTGAGGCAGAGGAGTCACAGTCAGACAAATCAAGACACATGCTAACGCTACTGCACGTAGCAGTGTGTTAAGGACGCACTGCAGTGGGGAACAGGCAGCAGCATCAATGCCATTACATTCAGTCATTCGCTCTGCTGCTGATAAGGGAACCTGATCAAAGATCTGCTCATTTTAAATCAGGTTCATATCACTGCCAACAGTGTATATGCAGGTCATACAAACCCAAATAATAGACTTTGATCATTAATATGCTGATTATTACAAACACGTATTGATTTTATGGGAAAAAGTTAACCGCTAAATAACAGAGATGTGTTACAATTCAAGAGAATATATATTGATTACATTCAGGATATGAAAATCATTTACTTTACCTGCTGATAGTGAAAGAAAAACCAGAAGCATGAATGACAAATTAGGACACATGCAAAACAAAACAAGCAGAGCATCAGCAACAAGCACGACATCATTGCTCAAAAGCAGGGCAGTGGGCCGGCAGAAAGGGTCGGAGCAGGCTGTGCGGGGCACTGCAACGGGTAAGTCTACACCGCCCGACAGACCGAACCCCCTTTCATCCCCAGCAGCAAAACCCGATCCCATAATGACATGCCTTCCCCTTTAGTTGTGGCTCTGGTGGGGGGGGCTGTGGGGGGTTGTTGGTGGGGGTGTAAAAGCCAAACGGAGGGTTGTGTCGGTGAGTCATATCGGTCAGATCACTCTTTAGAGTTGGAAGCCGTGGATTGTCACAAGAGGTTTTAGTCAGAAAGGCCTGGCCCCAGCAACGGGACGCCAGCTGCTATTTATGATTCAGTGTGTGAACAAGCGAGGGCAAAGTTCAAGTTCGTCTCAACACTGAAGCCGCCAAAGGTCTTCAAGATGTTCTTTGATTTCGGAAGGATTTCCATTATTTATTTGTCTGTTACACTCTCGTGGTGAGGAGATTATCTGTTTTCAGTTGTTTGGAGTCAATTTGCATGGCGCTGCTGAATCAACATACTGGGATGTATATATATATATATATATATATTATATATATATTCTAGGATAATCCAACCCTCCACTTGAGCTCCTATGTTTTAAACAAGATAAATACCACCACACAGGTCACCAGCAAAGGCATTTGTGGGAAAGATATGACACATACATACACACGGCCAGGACCACGTCAGCCATCACAGAAGCTGATCACGTCCTGATAACGCAACCATACCAGTAATAGCAACTTCCCTCCAATACATACCCATTGAATGCTTTAAGAGGAGCTGAATACCTGGTTTTGGCACCGTGTTGGTCATGGACTGCGGCACTTTATCGTTTATGAGTTCCACACACTCGCTGGGAAAGAAGCCAACCTGGGGGGGTGAGGGGAGAGAAACAGGCTGGGTGAGTCGGGAGGAAGGAATCCCATCTAGAACATAAAATGAACACCGAGGAGGAGTTGTCACTTCGATCGGGTACTGTTGTTAGAAGCACTGTGAAGATCTGATCTGGTTGTGTGGAAATGACCACGCTACATGATGACATGTAATGTAATGCAATGAGTGTGTCTGTGTACCTGCCGCTCTTAAACACACAGACACAGCCTCTAAAACGACTTACTACCTCCTATCAGACACTGTGGATACTGCAGGACTCTATATATGACACACCTGAAGCAGGGGGGGTCGTGTGAAGGAAAAACATAGATTCAGGCAGTTAGTAATTCAAAATAATTGTATACGTTATCTCTGTGGAATTAGCACAGACATGATTTACCCTTTTGTGTCTTTTGCTCAAGGGAAATAAATTAGGGCTACTTTAACAGATAATTTGTGCTTCAAAAGGACTAATTTTCCTGTTCAAAACATGCCCACGTGTCTTCTGAGAACTTGTAATATTTTAAGAACAAGAAACATTCCAGAACTAAAGTAACAAATGTTCCTGTCCTTTAGCCTCCTGTGGTTTACTTGGTTGCTCAACAGATATGGAAGTGTCACCTTCACCACGCCGCGTCAGCTAGAATCCTGAGGTCACAGGTCAAAGTTTGTGCAGGTCATTAAGGGCGCATAGTTGACACCTATCAGAGGAAAACTGCCTCTCTATTCAAAGGCT